TTTTTTTACTAACTCTAGAACATACTTCCTCCTGACATGTCGATCTTGATGTTGTTCATTAAATAGCTGAGCTGTTCTATTCGCACATTTATTGTTCATAAAGTAAAGCGAAATGATATCTACCCTTTCCGCAATGGAATAAACCATAGTGTTTAATTTTCAAAAACACAATTAAATAAACTACCAACCAACACTTCCAAATAATACTAGAAAATAATTTGGAATCCACTAATTTTACGTTCATTGTGTGTGTATAGCATTAATTTCTTTTTTACAATTGTGTTTTTTTTTACGAAAGTGATAACAAATCGCCAAAAACCAATGTAACAAGAAATACAAAATTTATACCATTGGCGTACTTAACTCGAATGACATTTTTACCGGTACTGATTGTTTGTATATAAGTTTCAACTTTAAAATCAAAATTCTTAATAAGTATTGGGCGGAATTATAAAATTTAAAGTCTGTTGTAAAGAGAATTGTAAGAGCTTTCAAAAGAAATATTACTCAACTTCCAATGCCATTTAAATATTTTGGGGTGATGCTTACCCTTACGTGGGGGTGAAAGTGGCGGAATAAAAAATACCAGCAAATAATGTCCCCCTTTAATCTAAAATCGACGGGTCTGAGCGTTTTTCTACAATCCTGACGCAGTTCCTGAAAATGGCTCTGTTTCGTTTTCATTTGGCCATCCTGTATATATTGAATGCTAAACTAAGGGGGGGTGTAACCCCCCGGTGAGTTACTATTTATTTGATTTTATTGGCAGAACTTTGATATTTGTTTCATATACCTACTCTCTCAATTTCTGGCGAATGACCGGGCTGTTGTCGGAATAAACAGCTTTGTGATGACCCATATATAAAAGATAACAGATTAACATATTTTACACTAGTCCTTTTTTAAAAAGTTTTTTTTAATTCTTATACAGTCTGAGATATATTTGAACTTTTAAATTTTAGTTTCATTCACAATTATTAAAGAATATATTGTCTCCGTTGTGCTCGATTTGTCATAAAATTCTGAGAAAAAAATCTCTAAGATCAAGATCAACAGTTAAAGCAGACCAAAAATTACCTCTATTGTATCACCTGTAACAATATAAATTATGGACAATTGTTTTCAACTACACCACTGGCTAGTTGTATCCGCGATTGAAATGCCGTGTAGGGGGGAAATACACGACAGGCTGCAGCCGTTCTCCTGCGATTCCCCGTGTTCTTTATTCTGTATCTCCGATCGGATAATTCATTCCGATGTAAACCGCGGACGAGGCATGCTTCAATACACCAAGCGTCGTCGTACCGTGTTAACAGTGATCAACTTAACCCACAATTGTTACACAGCATGTAATTAACAACCGACGACCTTAATTATTAATTAGACCAATTAACGCGAGTAGTGCACCAAAGTTTTCATTTTTACAATCGGCCATGAGGAAGTATCAACAATCTGTTTTATTCACAATACTTGTTTGCATGGGGAGTTTTGTGGACGAATCCAGTGCCGTGGGGTTGAACGAAGTGTTAGACATAATCAAACTCGCCAAAGACGTGGTAGTAGCAATAGCTAAAGCGTGGAATATAGTCGATCAACATGTAGATTTTTCCGAAATTCCAATACCACTCCTTGATAAGACAGAGGCCAAACTATTCGGTAAAATAGGGGTTATTAGTGCCAAATTAGATAAACTGGGAAGTAGAGTTGATGAAGTAGGTAAGTAAAAACCCAGGAAAACATGCAGTCCATTGTTTATAACATAATATTAAAATAAATCATAACGGAGCTTTTGGCATTAGATATATGTAGTTCGGTATACATTTTTTTTATTATTTAAGTCTCCATTTCCTCTAGCTGTCGTAATAAAAATGTTTTTAAATTTTAGAAAAGTATATTCTGAATTTTCCTCTTAATACACTGTTTACGAATGAGGTGTTAAAAAATGACGGTAAAACCGTACATAGAAAGGTTAGTGACCGATTCAAAGAATTCTACAGATTCGTACACGGTTATAAAATATGTGGTTGACTTAATTAACGAAACTAACTATAGTATTGCTGGTATGTTGAAAAAACTTTCTACAAACTTATTTAGCCTTTGTTTTCACTAAAATATTAGCTTTAGTATTCAGTACTATCGCTTTTTCTATCATAAGAATTTGGGACAAGGTTATTTTGCAAAGAAAATATACTTTGAATTAAAAAAAAAAAACAACTATTTACTGGTTTTTTATTTTAGCACGTTACTGGTATTATACGGGGTGTTTGGCCAAACTTTAATGGCGAATTCTACATCATTAATCGAGGAAAAAAATCCCAAAACAAGTTTGAGATTAAATTACAAAAAAAAAGTCTAAAAGATTTCAATTAAATTTGGAATGTAGCTTTAATTTTTGATTATACGCATGACACAGGTTTCTAACATACAGGGGCGCAACTCCAAGGGTAACATAGTAATTATTATTCAGATAACCTAATTATCTATGAATTTTTTTAACTTAAACGAAGCGTTTTCGGTCACATGTTTACAGAAACTGTTTGTGTTAATTCATGTCTCAGAAATCCGCCAATAAAGTCTGGTCAAGGATTTTAGGTTCGATTTTTTTTGTTAAAAACTCAATTGTAAATTATAAAGTTATGTTTTCTTACTTTCTTGCAGCTACTATATTTAGAGCATACATTTATATACATATAATCTGTATTTTTATATTCAGAAAAGGTATAAAATTTAACACTCCATACCTGAGGCTATCAAAATAATAAGTTTACACCTGCACTCTTTCAAGCGCTTTATCTAGATGATTAACGATCAGTTTATATAAGATTGGTTTGGCTTGTTCTCTCCCCTTAATACGTTTAAAATTTTATTCACAAGCTACAAGTATATGTAAGGGAATGTGTACAAACCTCGGTATAAACACATTTTTATTTTTTAGGTACCTCTACTATAGCCATGGTTTTACATACCCTCCCTGATCGTGTACGTTTAGAACTTCGCCTAAATGACCTCTTGAACTATATTACTAAAATGGATGTGAATTATCGCAGTTTTCAAAATTATGTCAAAGATCAAAATGAACTAGAAAGGTTAACATTGGAAGATTTTGCCAAACACGTCGTGTCCCATGACAGTAACTCCATAAATAATTTGATTGAACGTATTCATGCTTTCATCGCACCCAGCAGCCGGGGAATTACCAACACCGGTTTGATCACATTATTATTGAAATCATTGGAGGTAAGTTTATCCTTGTCTTGGATATTATTCTAAAACTTGACCAAATGATCCAATAATTTGTATTTAAACAAATTCCGTATTGTATAGATAGATGATGCATAACGATACATTCGAAAGCATGTCTTCACTTGCCAAATATTCGTCAAAGTTATACAAGGTGTTTGTAAATAAGTGCGAATTATTTTAGGGGGTGGTTGCCGAAGTTATTTTGTGAAAAAAAGTTCAAATAAACGTAGGTCGAAATATGCTCCGTTTCCGAGATACAGAGTGTTTAAATTTTAATTTTTTATTTATTTTTATTAATTATTTCAGTTTTAAAGATATTAACTTGAAATTTGAAAAACGCTTTGGAGGAATAAATGTGCACTTTTTAGGGTGATCCGAATATTTCTACTTGCACCAGTGGTGTTCGTGCGAGAATATAACAACCTTCTTTAATTAAAAATTGGCACGCCACTGATTTTTTGTCGTTTTGATATTTTTTTTAGAAATCCGCCATCAATTCTGAATGAAATAGGTCTCTTCAATTTTTTTCGTAGGACGCACCATTTTTGAGAAAAAAAATAAAACATATTTTATTGCAAGTTGTGTATTTTTAATTTCTATTAATACATTATCTAGTAGGTTACTGTCAATATTTCTAAATAAAATACAACCATCAAATTTCGAATCAATATATTTAAAACTCTTTGAAACAATAAATATAAATAATATTAAAATTTAAACACTATCTCGGAAACGAAGCATAATTCGAACTACGTTTATATGAACTTTTTTCACAAAATAACTTCGACAACCACCCCCCCAAAATATTTGGCACTTATTTACAAACACCCTGTACAAACCTAACACCGTTTGGATTCAACAAGGAAATGTTATTTAAATGACAAACCACATAAAAGAAAACCTGCCCGAATATACGAACATCACTATCAATGATACTTCAAACAAGCTCCACTCTGTATTGTTGCTCTACATTAGTAAAAAACATTGTGGAAGACATATAGATTTGAGAAGATATTTGTCATGTGCTCATATTACATATCTATATAACGCGTGTACAAGCTAGATTTTTACCCAATTATGTTTGACGAATGTTTGGCGAGTAACCATATCACCGGGAGCTGGATTAAGGTTTGAATGCTTTTGCAATAGAAAATTTTATTTCGTGTTGTTTATTTACCGTTTAAATTGCATCGTTACTCACTTTTGTGTTAATGTTCATTTCCAAGTGCAACAATTTTTAGATCAATAAATTATTGAAATTAGGTATCACAATTCGCATTATTCTTGGCACCTTCTCATATGTTAAAATAGTTTTAAAAATATAAATCATAACTTATGCTCGACTATGCAAATGCTATAATGAATAAGTATGTATATTTTTTTAATATTCAAAATAAAAAACTAAATTGTAAAATGCGAGTAAAATTGGTAATCGATATTAAAATCCACTAAAAATCCTCAAAGTTCACCAATAAATTAGTCGGTCCCATTGTTTTCAATTTCTTGAAATTTACCACAATTTTCTTATTACATATGCCAATGCAACCTAGTCAATTTCTTAAGTCAAAAATTGATAGATGTAAGACAAATTTAACATCCTTATGAATGATGTTAAATTTTTCATTTTAATTAAGAATTTTGTATTTCAAAAATATTATTCACTTAAAATATTACAGACAAGCAAAAATGACAGTTTTTTATTACTTGGAAATGAACGTTCTTCCATTAGTAAAATATACTTCACTTTTATAGATTTTTAAAACACTGCAAATTAAATAGTCTAATAACCAAGTATAATGAAATAAAATTAGTTGTAATAAAGATTTGTGTTCAATTTTAACTGAAAATGAGCCGTCTGTTGATGTATTATTATTGACAGTCGAATGAATAGAAATCAATGTTGTAGCAATAAACATTTTTATTGTACAATTTTCCGTCGTGCATATTACAATTACAAATTTACGAGTATTTAGCACATGGTAAGTTTCACAATAATCATCTATAAAGTAGTATTAACAATTATGCAACATCAAAACACAGTACAATTTAATAAACAAATCTCCAAACAAATGTACAGAGAACAGAATGCTCGAGAGAATGTAACACAAAAAAGGTAGAGGTGGAGGTGCTGAAATATTTCTTAATTCAACGATTGTTGGTACCTACCCTTAGCGGCTAAAACATGAATCATCATGATGAGCTTTTCTGTATAATCCTATCTGCCATTGATTCAGACGCGGCAAATGTAGGTCAACGTAGGTCAATGTATTTCAAAATAATTGATTAAAAACTACAGGAAAATATCCAGTTAGAACGTGTAATGGTCTATGTATACACTTTAAGTATTTTTGTCCTGATGACCGCAAATATACAGTGTAGCATATCAACATAAACATAACCAAGGAAAAAGGTGTTTAGTTCCCTAAATGAGCATTCACATGAATATTACTACCTGCGTAATGTATTTTCTTACTTGTAACGAACACAGATTTCTCATGCATCCAAAACAATTCTATAGTAGGATCGTATACGATGCAAAGTAGAGCAAAAAATTGTCGGCCTTTTATCAAAGGAAAATCGTGTCATCATTTTTAGGAGGCGTAAGATAAATCATTTCAAATTTAAAATGAAATTCAATGTAAAATCTGAAATACCGCTGCATACGCACTGTGTTCTGGTAGTAGCTGTAGTCGCCCAGGTGCATCGAGTGTACGAACTGGTCGGTTATACGTCAAATACTAACCTGGCGAGCTTTGCTGTCAATTAGAGAGCGCTTCCAAAAAACAAGTAAACAACAGTGGCGCGTACAGAGGTAAAATGTAGTACATATGTGGAATTTAGGAAACAAATTGGATTTATAATAAATTACATTTAAAATAAATAGTTTATGAGAATAAATAGCAACAAGGGTGCCAGACCTGAACTGATCCCCTCGTCCCTTCATAATGTATAAAGAAATTATTCAATTTGTAAAACCCTTAAAGGCGTACTTCATTGGTTCTCTTGTCATGCAATGATTTATTACTTTGCATCGAATATGATCGTACTATAGATAAAACTTGGCACTTGTGTATTACTATTATGTTGCGAATGAATAAAAATAATTCCCAAATTTTTCTTAGTAACGTCTCTCACTAGGGGCATCATGGATAAACATTGCTCCACCTTCAATTATTTGCGTAAAAAAACTAGAACTTTTATACTGAAAAAATATTCTGTACTTAATTAAAAAAATTATGTCACATGCTGAAAATATGTAAAACGGAATTTGTGAACACAGTTTTTGAAAACAATTACTTTTTATAATCACTTTACACATCGCAAGATATAAAAACTAATGTTAAAAATAATAATTCACGCTATTAAAATGCAACAATTTAGTAAGTTAATTAGGGACATAGGTAGAAAAGTTATATTTGCATCTGGGATATAAACAACTTAATTTATTTATTATGTTGTCTTCTTGTATTCCCTTTTTACTGGTTTTCTTTAACTTCATTTTTGTAAATAGATATTGCTCTCTGTTTTTCAATACTGTTTTCCATTTTTTTTCTTACGCACAATGGTACTAATACAAACAATTTAATTTATACAATGCCGTTAATTCGAATAGAATTTCCTACAAAATTCAAATAATGGGTTTCAATTTAAAACTGGAATTTTTAGGTACGTAACATAATGCAATATATTTTTACTGCACACTGCAAATGGTAGGAATGTTAGAAAATAGTACTAGGGAAATTTAGACAATTTTTAAAATTGGTGAGATACAACACACAAAATGTGTTATATTTTAAATGGTCACTGCTGCTACTCAATGCCAAGGTTCGCTAATGAGAACAAATAAGTTCGAAACTGATATATGTATGGTGGATCTACTGGCGAAGGATATTTACTGTTTAGTAGATGTAATTCAATGCTGGTCGGGACATTCGTCCGCAGTCTTCCCCTAAGGAGATATTTTCCGTATATGTTCGCACAAACATGTTATCTTATTTTTAGGCTGAGATTACAAACTAATTTCGGAATAATTTTAAATTAAAATTTAAAATTTTAATAAAGTCTCAATACAATCACCGTTATTTGTACAAAATTATTTCAATTTCGCCCTTCCGAGGCTTTGGCTCAGTACGCTACAAAGTACTAGGTCCAATATTATTATCTTACTGTTTCATATTGACTAAATATTGTACAAATTTTTATTTTTCAGGTTTGCAAATATGTATTAATATATCTGTTATAACTTCCTAGAATGAAAAATGTTTCGTCAGTTATCAAGTATGTGGCATTGTGGCAAACAATACTTATCAGCACGTACAAAATTAATACATTTATACGATAGGTATAACGTAGTTATTATCGAATTTCAATGTCAGTTATTTTTATTATTCTTTTTTTATAGAAATTAAGAATTATACATATGTATTGTACACTAACCATTTTAATCTTTTATAATAGACAATTTCTATCAATTCGCTTAATAAAAAAGATAAAGCGTGTTTAAAATCACAAAATAACGCAGTTCAGAAATGACAAATTATATCAAATTCAAACTTGGCACAGATTATATTCTCACAATCAGACGTGAATTCTCATGGACGTGAAAAATATTTTCTAAAAAGGGGTACGACGTGCCTATCCACGCACGCGCCACTGGGACAGGAAATGCCACGATATAAATAATTTATTTTAAAGATGCATCAAAACTGCATTTATTTGCGAATAATAAACTTATTTTGTCAAAACTAAATTTTTATTTGCAAATTTAAAAAACAAAAGGCGGCGACCAGTCTGCACGGTGCGCATTTTAAAAGGTAATTTAAAATATCAAGGCAACTGCGCTCTCACTTCCCTGGGTCTTCAATACACAATGAAACCAAGTAGGTAGTCTACGCCCGAGTGTTGTGCGACGTGGTTACCGACTCCTGTTATATTCCAATAAATTTACCGAACAAAAGAAGGGAGTATTATGTGGTGTTAATTATTACAAAGAAGGTAGTTCTTATAAAATTATTTATATCATATAGATATTCTTATTTTAATAACAAATAATAATAAAACAAAGCCTCAGATTCCAAAAAATATTAACACGTACGGATGATTTATTTTATTCAATTGATTTAACTGTAGCAACTAAACACTTAGCAGAGAGGTATTTGAAGTAGCTAGATAGTGGTAATAATAATGATTATTACATGTAGCAGCTAGTACCTACTAGCAATGAATTTAAATTTTAATAACTACTTATCGCGGTTATATAAAAATTGCAGCATTGCAAAATTACGTAGAAAGTAAACAAAACTGCCGATGATGATTTCTATGTTCCGTATAAAACGTTAACATTAAATTAATATAGGTACGTTCTATTTAAAACGGATGGGTAGGTACGTATATTATTTTAATAAAAAAATTACAATTAGTCTCGAGGAACAAAATAATACTAAAAATTTTTTATATATGATTTTACTAAAAATCATATACCTATCCGTTTCATTATAAATACCAATAGTCACCAGAACTTGTTTTTACGTTTCCTTATTATTATTGAGAGAGAGATAAATATAATCCCTCTTCACCCAAACCGATGTATATGTTATGGACCAAGTGATCAATCGGGCATTACACATAATGCCCGGTCATTATGTAAAATGCCCAATATGAGTGTGCAATTTGATAATAATTATTCAAATAATCAAATTGACCGGGCATTATACATATTGTCCATCACCTTTTGGGCGGAGTAATACAAACATATTTAATTACTATTTTTTTATTATTATTGTCATTTTTAAATAATCAGACTCATTATTTGGATTAATTAGCAAGGACTTCTACATTAAGAACCCACTAGTTTCTGCATTTAAAACTTAAGGAAAGTCATATTAAAAAGATAGGTAACACAAAACATATAAAATTTGAAACAAACATTTCACAACATATCTTTGTTTTATAGAAGTTTTGACATATTATTATAAAACATAAAATAAACGAAAGTTTAAGCAATCAGACTCATTATTTGGCATAATTAGCATATAATAGTTTTCAGCACTTTAAACTTAATAAAAGTCAAATGAAAATTTAGCTTTATTATCAAATTGCCCAATTGTCACGTAGCAATATAATAATGACCGTGCAATGTGATAAATAATGAAGTTTAGATAGTAATTAATCACTTAGCCCGATAGAGCTAGGCATTATTCATAATGTTCGCGCATTATTAATAATGCCCGCATTAATCACCTGGTCCATAACATATATAACACAACTGACTGCGAAATTATTATTTAGCAAATACGTTAAACTAATTATATATTTTTTTAGATAAATGTTCAAATTCAAATATATATCGTTGTAAATACTGCTCATCTCACGCTTTTCTAAACATTTCAGTAGTCAGCGCACGTATAAAAGCTATTAAACTTACAATTAAATGAATTATAACGGCGTCGTCGTGTTAAGGTCGATACACAAACTAAGAGAAGTCAATATTCAAAAATTTATACCTACTTACGGCTCCACTGGGTTGTGTCCCTACATAAAATAATATCTTGTAAAATTTTTTTATTAGTTTCATTAAAAAAATTAACTAGGTATTTCTATTTTTAGGATTGTAAAACAGTTTGTATTGTATTTCATGGAAATGTTTACATTATTATGGTTTATGCGAATTTAAATTTAAAAATATAAACAAGGAATTATTATTTAAATTGCCATTTAAAATTACGTGATGTAATGTAAAAAAATATTTATAACTAAATAGGAATTGGAATTAAAATAAACGTAAGTGCCTTTTGATAATAAAGAGGGGTAATTCTTTTAATTATTCATATTACAATAATTGCGAAATGGAAAAATAAGAGGGATATTTGATTTACTAATATTATTACATGGCATTTTGGAGACCTTTTGAAACGGAACAAAACGAATTTTACCATCAATATAATAAAATTGTTTGAGGACATAAATAATTAAAATATGTTGTTGGACAAATGAACATATAATAGAAATTTTCTACACATTACATACAAATTATAATTTTCTACCTTTAACAGAAAACTTTTTTAGGGACGCCCATGAAGTTCATTAAATTTGATTGCTCGGTTTTTTTATGCATGTTCAACTAACTTCGGAAAAACTATACTGATTTTTTTTGTTGGTCTTATATGAAACAAGCATATTTTGTTGGAATGTTATTTTTCATATTTTATAAATGTCTTCTAAAAAACACATTTTTAAAGAATTTATACTTTACATTTAAACACATATCATAATCCTATACTCCGCGGTCGAAATTATAGAGAGTGATTAATCGCTAGCTTTTGGACTAGTAAGGGTGATGAAGCGTGCCGGGAACGAAAATCCATTGGCGTGTCTGCGTAAAAGGCAACAAGATATAGAAAATATTGAAAAAAGATAATAAAACATCTAATATTTTTTACGGTTTGCTATAACCGGCACTTTGATCCATTTTAATTATTACAGCATTTTAAAACGTCCCAGTTGTGTTTTTTTAATTTATAAATTTATTATAGCCATGGAATTAGACACCTCGTCTACGCTTATGCTATGACGTTTCTCAGGACTGATAAATCAAGTCCATTTACACCCAACGAAAAAAGCATTTCCCTATTCCCTACCAAGTGCAAAAGACAGAGATAGAATATAGATCGACGTTCAGTGTAACTCAGTCTATAGACGATTATAGATTCTATCGATGTGCGTAGCGAGCGGCACAAAGATAAATAATATTGAACCATATAAAAATCATTTTATATTTTATACGCATTACGGTAATAGTGTTTTTATATTATGTCTGAATCACTGTATAATTTCGACCGCGGAATATAGGTACTTCCAAAAATTATTTCACGTAAAGTTTGTAGACAATAGCGCCATCTATCCATACCATACACCATTTAAATACGATTTAATCTAAAATTGACAATTAAGAGTTTCTTCAGAGAAAGCCTCAATTGTATTAGATAAAGTTTTCTTCCATTCGAATGTCATTTTCAGAATTTCAGATTATTTTTCTTGGTCAAAACAAACAAAACAGAAACAACCTAGGTATACGAACTTTTTGTTACAAATCCAATATTTTACAGTTTGAGCCGTTCATGTAATTTTATCTAAAAAGTATATATGTTGTACGTATTTAAATAAATCACAATATCATACAAAATCTCATATTATTTTTTTACTTCCCACAGAACTTGTAAAGTAAAAAATCTGGTATACATTTTGTTATAATGAAATTAAAATAATTTCAAGACGATAACGATTTAAATATGATTTTGAAAACGATTACTTTGGTTTGCCTTGTATTTATTACAACACAAGCACGAGAACCTACGAAACTGGTAGCTGTAGATAGACTGCGATGGGATTTTTTGACAATAGAAGAATCTTTATGGAATTTCGTTATGGACTACTTAGATAATAATATAAAACCAAAAGAATATGATGAAAACGGACCGCAAGTTAGTTTAATAAGGGAATTTGAGGAATTTGGAGACAAAATAAATGAGGTAAATGATTATGATTTGTTTATATAAACAAACTTATTGGCCAAAATTAGATTTTTACGATACTGAAAATAGTTCTTAAACATTTATATTATACTGCATGAGAAAAAAAAAAAAAAAAAAAAAAAAGAGGAGTTTCGCCCAGGAAAAATAAAAATGAGAATTAATCCAAATTAAACTTTTATGTGTGTTCCTTTACTTTCATAAGGCACTTCCACAAGATATTACCTATGGTTTGAACCAATTAGAAAGCGTGTGGTCTCTACAGCTGGCCTATGCCGACCTTAGGGGTGTTTATGCCTTATATGAAACTTTTCGGAGGTTTCAAAAGCAACAGACTGCACCAGGTCGGATTCCCTCACCTAAACAGGCTTGGACCGATCTAGCGGAAACTATACTATACGATGCACGAAGTAACGTGGAACAATCCATGAATAGAGTTCATGAAGTGGTCATGAAAAATATGTTTCAGAATGCGAGAAAGGTAACGGTCCCATGAAATTTTAAATTATAAGGTTTATTAAAAGTAAATTTTAATCTGTTTAAATTTCATTGTCTTGAATCACGAAATAAGATGTTCAAAATGGAGATAACATTAAACACAAATCTTTATTATGATCGATTTTCTTTCTCTTCATCAATGTTAGAATTACTGTTTTTGTAGGAAGTAGAGGGTGATATGTTGTGCAATTCCCAACAGTCACCACAACAGGTTCTTTATAACTTGTATAATGCTATAGCATTAACTGAATTGAAAGGCTATACAATGATACAATTTTCCTATATGTTACTGAGGTTATATGATCAAGGTAAAAATTTATGTAAACAATGGTAACTAATCTTACTAACCAGAATATTTTTTAGGTAATTTTACAAAGGAAGCACAATTAATGAGAAACAGATATGAAGAAAGAACAAATAATGCTATTGAAATAGTTAAACAGTCTATGAAAAATGCATCTAGAGCATTGTGGAACTGTGATCCTAAAAAACATGTGAAAGGTACATAATTAAAAATATATCAAGAATGATATTATGTTTATTATTTTTAGGAGAAACATATGAAGAAATTACCCAATTACTTCAAGGTTATATTCAAAATGAAGTTGACCTTAATTCTGAGGGCACATGCAGAGAAAATTGTGTAGAATACACCTATACCAAAAGTCATAGTTGTTTTAAAAATTTGTACTGTCGCCAGCAAAGAAGATGCAATGGTAAAATTATAAATTGTCAGTTCTTCGATTCTGATATGTGGATTTGCCCAGCTGTAAGTGTTTGAAGTTGTTTATAGTTTAATGGAAATACTGATATTAAATAATTTTACAGGACCCACTTAGTGGTAGGAGATACGAGTATGTAGAATATGAAAATGGAAGAGTTCTTGGCAGAAAACAAGGTTGCAGTAGAGGTACCTCAAAGGTCGACAGTTGGTGGAGATGGCTGTTTTGGCACTGTTCATATTGTTTCTGTCTTTGTGATGAACAAGGCAGCAATTCTGACAGATACTTCAATATGAGGCCTACATTTGCTAATTTCAACGATAATCGGTAACATTATATCCCTATTGTATCAGCGATTTGTTTACAAATTAAAATTATTTTAGGGTGGTTACCGGATTACGATTTGTTAAGAAAAATCGAATAATACATCTCCAAATCCAAGAAGGGAAATTATTACCTAGAGGTAAAATTGATGTAGATACAGTCCACTGGACACCTGTCGAGGAATATAAAATAACCGATAGAAAAATTTTTAATGGTCAAGATTACCACACACTAAGCTGGGAAAAACGAGCTATTGATTTGGATGATTTAGAAGCTGAAGAAGGATATGTTTTAACAGGTAGATTGATAAACTAGTTAAAATCATAAATATGTATATGATACTAAGACAACTATTTTTTTTTTATAGGAATACGGTTTAAAGAAATAGGATCTCATTTAAATTTTGAAATATATGTTACTCCATTTGATTTTGATACTGGAAAACTTATCAATCCATCCAGTACAAGTGTTTGGAAAGATAATCCAAATACAGATGCTTCTATAAAAAATCCTAGGTAAGTTTTCCTTCTAGTTTAAAAAATACATATTTAAATTGCTTTTAAATACTTCAAATTTATTGAAAAATGTTCATTGTGTTACAATGGGATAAAATTTAAAATGTAAATAGTAAATCTTACTGATTTCTCTTATAATACGCATTTTAACTATCCTTGTGACTTTTTACCCTATGTTTATATTATATTTATGAATTTTTTATATTCTAGGACCAAAGTTAAATTAAGGCACCCAGACATTCCCACTAGATCACCGTCACCTTCAGTTCCAACCTCACAATCGGATCAATACATTGAATTTGTAAATTCTGACATTGACCGAGATGTTGCTCAGACAACTGTACCATTTTTGGATGCTCAAAAAGTGGAGTCACTTCAGCCAGTTCCTTTAAGCGGAGCAGGAATTTTCCACAAAGGAAGGAATAATTTTGGAGGATTTATTACTCCCAAAATCATTACTTATGATTTTAGTAAACATTTAAAAGCTGCATTCCCGGGAGAAGAGATCAATTAATTATATTATATTACATATACATACTAATATTTGTGTCATAAAGTTTTTATTAACTGTTCAAAGACATTTATTACTACAATTGAACCTGTAAGCTTTGGTAACAAATATTTTAGTTAATTTATTTTTACTGTGATGTAGATTGTTGCATAAGATATTTTAATATTATTATATTAATATTATACATTTCATTTGGCTCTTGAATTTTTTTATATTTTCCCAAGCTGCATTTATAATAAAAAATGTAGTAATAAAATGGAAATTTAACACAAATAATATTTTTTTCCTAAACAATACAAAACATTCTTTTTTTTTTGTATTAGCATATCCATAAAAGAATAAACTAATAATGTACTGTGTCAGAAGCTGAATTATTTACATACATAAATAAATAGGTACAATATTTTATATAAAAAATGTTATTTAATTAACTGAATTATAAGCCCGAGTTTAAACATGTATCTAACAAAGCTTCGGACTTTTTCAGATGGATACATAAAAATGAAGATTACTGTACTTGGGTCAACTCGCATTTTATCAAAACAAATTTCCATCTATATTAGATGGTTCTCCGATATTAACATCATTCAATATTTAGATTTGACCTATAATTTTTGGAAGAATTAATAAATAAGTGTCCAAGAAATGATGGTCAATATCTCGGATTTGAGTAAGTCTTGCAAAAGTAATGTTACAAGTTTTTAAAATTGTTGAGGTGTTAGCTCTTGAAGCTCATTAAATTTGGATAATTTAAAATTATTTTCTACTGATGTACATATTCAATTTAACAATAATTACTTCGAGGGCTCGGTCACACACCACCATTAGGCAATATTGGGCTTCTAAAAAAATGTATAAATCCATTTTTTTTACATTTGTATTGCTGTGGAGTTTTTATATTTTTAAGTGAAAAAGTTATACTACTATCGATAAAATGAACCGTACTCGAGTTAAATGCATTTATTGATATGAAGATACTTCTATTTATGTCACACCTGAATAATCGTAAATATCTGAAACAACAACAACGACGATTGCTTTATGTAACAAAATAAATGCATAATGTTAAATAATATTTGATTTTATGCATTTATTTTGTTGCTTAAACCATCGTTTGTTATTTTCAGGTATTTACAACTATTAAAATGTGACATAAACAGGACAGTATCATCATCACTAAAGGAGCATATCTTGAAGACAATTCATTTTATCGGTAACAAAAATCTACACTTTTTTCAATTCAATTTTTTTAAAGGCCATACAATTTTAAAATATGTAATTTTCACAAACTACTAAAACTGGAAATTTAACTAATTATGTATCCAATAACAATGAAGTGGTGACATAATTTGAAATATCCTATACAGCAGGCTGTTACAAATTCGCTTCTCACTACAAAGATATTGGAAACGGTAAGGGATACTGTCCCGTGGAGATTGCGAGCTAGAGAACAGTGTGGCCGGAAATCTGGAGTGAACTGGTTTTGTTAAACAGAACGTAATGGTTAAATTCCAGTCGATACAGTGTTATCCGCTGGAGAAATTAAACTGTTTAAAAAAAAAAACTACTTGTCAAAGGTTGTGGTTCGACATTGACAAAATTGAAGTCAGACGGTCGATTCCACGAGTGATAAAGGTTACGAGTGATACGCGGTGTCGCGAGAGACAAAAGGGACAAATTTACGATATACCTGGTGTATCGTTAGTCCCACCACGGATCTACCTGAAAAAGAAACTTATACGTAAACCTGGGAATATACGCGTTCCTGTCAGCGTGTCGAGTTTTCTTCTTTAGCAACAAGAATCCTTGCCAGCACCATTCCTTAGAGTGATTCATTAAATCCAAATTGTGAGAGATTTGAAAGAATTAGATATATTTTAGGCTTGATTTGAGTAAAGTGACTTTTATTAATAATAATAATCATAGTCCCATAAACTAAGAAGGACATGTATTGAACTTCTACCGAGCCATGTCAGTGGTAGCAGACCCTAGCAAAGACGGTAAGTCGTAAAATTTTCCACTAGTGCGACATCTCTGAAACCAAGAAGGCAAATAGAGACAATAGACAGTATTTCTTATTGTTACATATACAGTAATATTGTAAGGAGACTTAAATATTATAGTTTAGAGACAGAATAGTCAAGTGAAAGTGAAGTTAGTATCGGTTGAGTCTATAGTGTAAAGGTTTTTGCAATTTCCTAGAACAAACGTTAGTGGAACCGCAATTAGATATTTGAGTAACATGCTAGAACTTTAAATAAGTTGAAGACTAATACAGGGTGTTAAGTATCGTGGTACGATATTAATAGAAACAATGCACGAATTAATGCCTATTAAAACATGACATCGAGAAGGCGTGAGTTTGCCGGCGCTTCCCACGTAGAGAACAATCTAGAGGAGGAACAGCGGAAGTCGCTCATGTCAACTGAATCCCTTGAAGGGGTATCTGAGGAACCCAGCGTCCCTGCGTGCCATGGGAAAGGTTCAAGACCAATCTCGGGTTCTAATCGACCCCAGTTAGAATTAAGTTTTGCGGAACTGGAAGAAACGCAATAATTAACCCAGCTGAAACGGCCGGAAGGTCACGCGTTGCGTTTGACGCATGCACACGACGACAATACGAACTAGCTTCAATTGAGGCAAATTTGCGTAATCTGGGGACCAATATTATGTCTCTAAAAAATCAAGGCTAACATAATTCGTTTTGGAAATATTTGAAAAAAAAAAAATTTTGGAAATCTTTTAATTTCAGCCTTGTGATATGGAAAAAAGAACATTTTCTCATGGCAACTTTTTGCCCTCTATCGAATGGCATAATCAGTTTCTATATGTAATGTTTCGTCTTTCCAGGACCATCAATTTCATGTTTTTAAATAAGGCCCTGGAAATTTTATTACATTTTTTGCAAGCCTTCTAACCCCCGATACTATACAGCCTCAGCCCGAACCCCGAACCAAATTCAGACATTTTATCTCGAAAAAATCATCTTCAATGTATTCGTTCCTAATTTAACTAAATTTTTTATTTAGATTTCTATGTTTATTGAATTATCGTACATTCTAAGTGTCGTTAGACACTGTGAAATGTGAAATGTGAAATCCACCTAGTTATTTAAACTATTCCCATCCGTATTTACAATAGAATATTTTAGAGTTTTAATTCCCGTGCCTATAGTTCCTTCTAGGTTTCTCGAGTACTCAAAATTCAAATAAATTCCGCTCTAATATTTTTCAGGATATTCATACAAATACTTTTGACATGCTCTTTCACAGTTGCAACAACTTAATTATGTATGACCAGGTAATGGTAATACTGTAAATAACTAGGCAGATTTCACAGGGTCTAACGACACTTGGACTGTATGATAAATTCAAAAAACCTAGAAATGTAAGTAAAAAATGTAGATAAATTTGGAACTAATATATTGACGATGAATTTTTGGAGACAAAATGTCTGAATCTGGTTCGAGCTGAAGCAGGACAGTATTGGGGGTCATGAGGACTTGCAAAAAATGTAATAAAATTTCCAGGGCCTAATTTAAAAAAATGAAGATGATGATCCTGGAAAGATGAAACGTTACATATAAAGACTGACTATGTCATTGGATAGAGGGCAAAATTTGACAGGAGTAAGTGTCCTTTTTTCAATATCACCTCAAACAATGCTGAAATGAAATAAAAAGGGATTTCCAAAATTTCAGTTTTTTTCAAATATTTCGAAAACTAATTATTATGTTAGCCTTGATTTTTTCGAGGCATAATGTTGATCCCCTGATTACGCAACTATGCTCCCATCTCAAGATCCTTGTAGTGAGAAGTGAATTTGTAACAGCCTGTAGGTATATTAAAATATGTGATCGTAAGTGAAAACTAAAAAACATTCAATAGACAAATAATTGTCTATAATACAGAATGCCACTATAAAAGCATAGCAATTACTATTAAATTAAGAAAATTACATAATAAAAACAAAAGGTATAAATATATATCCCAAATATCTGTACATTCGTTGCAGAGCATTTTCTAACTAGTGAAGTAGGCAACACAAATGTTGCCTGCTGGAGAAAATTAGTCGCCCAGTGATTTAAATGAAACACCAAACAATAACAAACATAAAACAGATTGTCCCGCAAATGATAAGGCAAAAAATATAATAATTGAAAATAATTTTCATTTTATTGTAAAATTCCTAACTTTTCGTAAACAGTAAAAACAGATTAGGTTTATACAGACAATTCAAAACGAGTAGAGACTGTATTCAGAAGAAATATTATTATTTATTTCAAAATTCCTCTTAATAAAACCTCAAAAATTTTTTGCCCGTGGCGCTGTTCAGCGGTAAAAATACACTGATTCGTTGTACGTATAATTTAAAAGCTTTTGATATCTACATTAGTAAAATCATATGAGAAAATAATATCTAGAAATGATCTACTTGTAAATATTTAAGCACTTTGTAAGAACAACGCAAACTTTATATATGTTAGGGACCACCCAGTTCATAAGGAAATTTTCTGTGTACAGTAGTGTGCTGTATTGGTTGCATAAACCAACTCCTCGCACTAATATACTCAAACATTCACCACTTTATGAAATCAGTAACAACTGTAATAAAAGTTCTCTACATATCTTTAACTGCAGCCTTAATGACTTAAAATTTTTTTATTTTTAACGTCTGGTAGTTCAAATATGTAATTTTAGTCTTCATTTATGTGTATTATTTAGTGTATAGATTTTATTTATTTCCTTCGTTTTTATGATGTATTTGTATTTTTTTGTTGTTGTTTGTTCCTTTTAATTTTGTTTGTAATTGATGTACTTCTTTTATTATTGTCTGTAAAATCCCTGTTCTATAATTGGGTAGTATCTGTTGAACAGTGTATTAAATAAAATAAAAAATAAAATAAAAATAAAATAAAATAAATTTAATAGTATGAAATCAATTGCTGTTTCAAATTATAGGTTTGTAATCTACAACTACGTACATTGTCGTAATAGGTGTGTACAAATCAATATAAAGGAATTAAAAAAATTACCTTTTCTAAAATATCTCCGAAGGCTTTTGA